CTGAATTTTATGGGTGCAAACGTAAGGATTAAATTGTTCAATTTTGCTTCCACCATGAAAATCCTTAAGTCAACTCTCTCTTGCAGGCGTCAGATATGAAAAGTTCCTTGTCCTTCCTGAGCAAACTGGGAAGCTTAGTAGGTGTTTTGGGCCCCAAAAGGTGCCAGTGGGAGTCATTGCACAACTTGGCCCCAGCAAATCTTGTCAAGATAAAGCTCCCCAAAAAGAAAAGGTGTTCAACGCAGTGGCAGGATGAGAAGTGATTTTTTGCGGGGAAGAAGAGAACAGCCACCATTTTTAGAGCCCAGTTAACTTTCTGCTGAGATGAGCAGGGAAGGGCACATTTGGTGAGCAGCTGTTTGCAGTTGCTTAAAGCGCGCCCAGGCGCACATCACTTCATCCCCACTAGTGTTTTCCCCACTAGCAGTTCGGGGGTTTTCTTGTGTATGGTTTTTCCTGCCTTAGATTTTTGAACTGTTTGGAAAAGCAGACTTGGCAGCCGAGCCTGAAGTAAAGCCAGGGAACTCCTGCCCGTGTGCGTGCAGACCCAAAGAGTGCGACACAAAGCAACGAGCGTCTGAGCCGGGGGGTCTGGTCCTGCTGCCGCCAGCGAGCGCGGAGCTCCGCTCGTCTCCCGCCCTCGGCGTTCGCGCCGGCAGATGGATCCCCCACTCTGTCCCGTACGTGTGTGCAGTAAGGAGAGAAAGACCAGGGTGGTTTGTTTTTTTTTTTTGGGGGGTTGTTTATTTTTTGTGCAAAATACTTACAAGCTGAATTCTGAGCTCGGAGCCGCTTGTAAAATAAAACCGAGCGATGGGCTAATCGCCTGCGAGCGGGGGAGAGAGGGTGCCGCTTACCCGTGCTGGCAGTAAGTAGTGTCTGTAGCGTATCATACCGCCTTGTTTACTGACAGTACTCGGACCTGGAACACAAAGGTATCAGCAACACTTTTCGTAAGCGCCGCTGATGGTGGTGTGTGTTTTTCCTAGAATTGGCGGTTGGAATGGCCCTTTTCGGATGCGTAGGCAGGACCCTGTGTGCCATGCTCTTGCATAAATTACCATATTGTTATGGAAACTTTCTTTAGGAGCCTGCAGCCTTAGCTTGCTCCGAACTCCACAGTTTCCCCTTGTCAATTCTTATCCCCAGAGCTGATACTCGGGCTCCACAAAGCATGAGCTATGCTGATTTGGTAGTGTGAAATCTTTGCTTTCAGCTGATTTTAAAAGCAAGCGCCTTATTCTTTTGCGGGTAGGCACAGCCCAGAAAGCATAAAGCAGCGTAAGCCGGCAGTTTGGGATGAAAGCAAGAAGCAGCTGGGCTCCAGTATTGGAGTGACAAATTGTGGAGGGGTTTCTTTTTGGGTGCCCTGGTCCTTCACCGGCACATTGCTTTTTATGTCGTGTGGGTCGACATTTGAGACACATTCCCTACCCAGCATGTCTTGAGGTTCACCCTGTGCATAGTGATGTGGGAGAAGACGGCAATTAGTAACGTTTGGAGAGGGTGTGACGGGACGCTGTTGCCAGAGCTTGGCGCAAGATGCTCAGGCCAGCTCTGACTGCTCCATCACCTGCAGGTCTTGTGTGGCAGGGTGGAAAGAAAGGGAGGGAAAGCTGAAAGTTTGCCTGTCTGAAACAGAGAAGCTTTAAGAAAACAGAAGACAAATTGCTTCTCATTAAAGCCTGCATGATTTATAGCATGCCGTTTGCATGCCAAAACTTTCCTAAACAAAGCTAATTAGGGAGCTGAAAGAGCCTTTCCTCCAGAAACAAGGCTTTCTACTCTAACTGTTAAATAGCTGCAGTCAGTTCTGATAGTTTATTACTGCATTAAGAACCTCTTCGTGACACCCGTGTCTCCATGCCATCCATACAAGTGTCTGTTTCAAAAGATCCACCAACAGTCTTGGCGCGTAGCGGGCAACTTCGGGAGAAAGGCATGAAGAATGGAGCGTTTTCCCAGCCGCACATCGCGGCCTTTTCCACCACTGCTGGTGGATGCCACCAGCCTTCCAGCACGCTGGGAACGTGCCTTTCAGGAGGCAGTTTATTTTAAAAGTGTGGGACCGATTTCGCAAGCCCCATAAAGATACGCGTAGCTCGAGCGTTACTGAGATACTCAAGAAAGAAGACACGTTACGTACGTATGTTCACCTCCTGCTCGGTGATTTCTTTGGGGCCGTTCAGTGGGACCATTCACTCATTTACTCAAGACGCAGCACTGACTGAATCCCCTCCTCATTCAGACACTGCAGGAAGGTGCCTGACCAGGAGGAGGACAAGTTGTCCCTGGCACGGGCTCTGCGTTGCTGCAGCTGGATTGCGGCTCGACCCCAAGCAAGTTTGGTTGAAACTAGTTTGAACATCCCTTCAGCACACAGCGACTCCTCTGGCTTCGGTGCGGGGACACTTCTGTAACGCCTGCTTGTGGGGGGTTCTACAGGCGGAGCTGCAGGTGTTGGAAAAGTGGCCTTTGGTACGGAGTACACAGAATTCCTCCGAGCTGAAGTCATTGCTCGGCTGGCATCGTAGCTGCCAGGAGAGTTAGTGGGGAGATAGCAAGGACACGCATAAACCAGGGAGGAAAAAAATGGAACATTTTTTGACTGGATCACTAAAACCTAAAATCTTGTTAGACCACAGGAAGCTAAGTTAAATTAAGGGTTTGGTTTTTTTTGTTATAGGTCTTTCCAGTTAACGTCCGTGGTGTCCTGCAAAAGCAAGCCAGCCTGGGTTTGCACTTACTCACCTGTGACACCAGGTGAGCCTTGGGAAGTTCTCCAAAAACTGGCCTGGCAAGAGCCTGCAGGCATATGACAACTGGCTCCTCAGGTAGAGGAGCCAAATCCAACATGAATATAGACGATAAGGAGCTATTAACTCCCACAGAAACATGAGCAAGCATCTACGAAAGGCAAAATGAAACTTGTACTTACTGTATTACTGAATTTGTAGAAAACCATCAGCACAACAGCCTCCTGTTTTTAAAGACGCTGTGAGTAGCTCCCAGGGCAGGAAATTTTGTAGAAAACATTATTCAGTTTGCCAGGTTGCTGCTGTGCTCCCAATCCATTCATCTATGAATCATCTGATAATTCCTCCTGATATTCTTCAGTTGTTTTCATACTTGCCAAAATAAGCTACTTGGCTACCTAAAATGTCCATCCAAATATATCCTTACTCATCTAAAATGGCCAGGGAGGGAAACTAAAGCAGCTCAGTTACTTCATGAGAACTACCCAATGTTTTAGGTCAGCCTTCCCTGCCTGCCCAGCAGCCTCCCGGGACACATGGGCATTAGGATTTTAGGTCTCTGAAAAGACAAAGGAAGAGTTGCTCTACCAAAAATCCATGTCCAAAGGTAACCTGTGAGCCCTTTGCCTATCTCCCAATGGCTCCGCTCAAGTATATGACTTATTTAGTTCTGGTGTCAGGGGATTAACTCTAAAAATCACAAATCTGCCCCTTGTTCACATAGTAAATGTCAGTCATCTGTCTGTCTGTCTTTGTCAAGAACTCCAGTCTCAAACCTCCTCTTTCTTTTCAAAGAAGACTGATTTGAGGAACCTTTGGAGTGTCCTTGCAAGCACTGTTTCGCCTTCCTCTAAAGAGGCAGAAATGAACTTCAGCAGCTGGAAGGTGACAGGATGCTGTCCTTGTCTGAGTTTTATTACAGGAAGAAGGGCTATTTTAATGCCCCGAGAAATATGTTTTCAGACCTCTAGAGTGCCCCTGCCTTAGAAAACTAGAGTGGGAAATATCTGTCATCCACAGAAAGTCACAAAATGCATGAGGCAACACTGACTGGAAGCAGAAAGCTTCAGAAAAGTATTACTTACTCCAGACTTGTCCTTTCTGCATACTTTCTGTTTAGAAACCAAAACTAAGCGGGATGGGGGGTTGTTTTGTGGCTCGGAGTAGCATATGTGAATACCGGGAATTTAATCACATCTAGAGACAGTCTTTTTTTATAGCAGATTTTTTAAAGTTTGTCTACACACACACACACACACACACTTTCCCATTCAAATAATTCCAGCTTCAGTCCAAAATCCTCCTAATCAAGTTTTATTCTTTTATAAATTGTGATAGAAGGCGTAAGTCTTGAATGAAGAAATCCCAACTCTGAATGTAGATCTTTGTTAGCAAGTTAAGTTTTCACACATGGTGCGTGCTTCTTGCTCAGCCCACGGGGAGAGTCTGGACTCTCTTCATCTGCACAAAGTCAGGGGTAGTATAGGCTGCTTTAAAAATGATGTGGGTTACCTCATGTAATTAGGGCATGAAGGCAGTGCAGTGTAGATGCTGTTGAAGGTTGCTTTAGGCATGTGAACTTGGCTTGTGGCGGCAGCCTTACTAGAACAGCCTGGAATTTGGTATGGGAGGAAGCAGCCACATATTTCCCTGGTTAAATATTGATCCCATTTTGACCTCTGTGCTATGGCAGAATGGCTCCTACCAGCGGCAGGCATAATAAATCAAAAGCTACCTTTAAATATACCAAACCTCACTGTAGCCCTAGCTGTTGCAACACATAAAAATTGGTCTCACCTGACTTGAAATGAAATTAGGCATCCAGTGAAATCATCTCAATAACCCAGGGACCGAGAAAAAGACCTGCAAGCAGCATTGATTCTCCCGTTATTTGCACACTCATCTTGAGATGGAACAGATGGAGAGCGATTTGGATGTGCTTATTTTTTCCACGTCATCGTAGTGGTTTATACTGGGCACCTCGTTTGGAGCTTGACGTGAGTCTTACAGCAACCTTAGTACGCACCTGGAAGTCAGCGTGAGGTAGGTAGCTTGCTGCAAGTTCACATTTTCATTGCAGCTGACTTCCTTGCATTGACAAATCTTAATATTTAATTCTGAAATCCTGCTTAGGCAAACATATGCCTGAAATCAATAGCAGATTTGTATCTCTAGTCATGTACATAGCAGCTAATTTGTGATAACACTAGTGTTGTATATTTATTGTATGTGTTTTTCTTTCAGACTGTTTGTCTTACACGGCGCTAGAAGTTTTATCAAAAAGGTGTTACGGGAAACAGAGATGCAAAATCGTTGTCACTAGCCGGGATTTTGGAAGTCCGTGCCTGCCTGGAGTTACAAAATACCTTAATGTCAGCTACGCATGTGGTAAGAGCAAATGCGTGATCATTTTAAAGCCCTCATTCTGCTTGCAAGGCAAAACAATGCCAAATGGTGCACACGTAAGGAGAGAGACACACACATGCTCACAGAGGCTTCCAAAATCTCCCCTTCCTTTTAGCATAGGAAGTCGGTGACATAGGCGTACAAGAACAAACAAAATATATGAACAATCCCATGGGCAGAGCTGCGCCTCATGTAAATTCAGGCATTAAGGGTCTTTTTCCTGTAAAAATGCAATTGACAATAGAACATAGAATATGTGTTTTAATATTTTGAGAAATACTGTCAGAGTAAGAGTCTGTTCTACAGAATTGACCTGCAACAGCGCTAGGAAAAAGAACCTGGCATTGCCTGCCATCAGCGCGGGTAACGCAGTCCAGCATAATTGAAGCACTGTGTACAAGCCCAGTCCTGAAATCTGATTCACACGAGCACACCTACAGCCCTCAGCCTTGCAGAGGGATTTCATTTCTCCTGGGCAAAGTCTCAGTAGAAGTAAGAGTTTGAGGTTATACGTCCCTTGCAGGACTGAAGCCTATTTCAGCTCATTCCTCAGGCAGAGGAACAGTTTTCCATATTCTTTACCACGAACTAATGTATTTACATCAGGGGAAAGCAGAATTCCCTACAGTTCTTCTTCTCAGAAGCAAAAGCCGTGGGACAGCAAAGTGTAGCACCAACAAAGGTGAGAGAAGACTGGTTACAGAACTTCAGCGTAGTCCCTTATTTTGGTATTGCACGTATTTGGGAATGGCTGCGCATTTCTTGAGCCTCGAGCGGATTTCCTCAGGCTCTGCTTTCTGCTGCCGGCTGGCTGCGGGGTGGAAGTGTGAGGTTCCGGGGTGATCGTCTCTCACGCACCTCTGCTTCAGCCAGAGGGTCCATAAAAGTTTTTTCCCCGAGTCACCGCTCTGCGCACCGCTCGGCAAGCTGCCAGCCCCTGCCCCTTTCTGGCTCCTTCTGGCCGGTGGGGAGTCACGGCAGCGGCTCCAACGGGGACGTCTCGTAGAGCCCTTTTTGCTGCATCTCTAGGGAGTAATGGGCAGAGGGCACAGGTTAGCCGAGACGTGCTTTTGGGAACAGCAACGTAGGATTGATTGCCAGATCACCGTGTACCTGAAGATCAGAGGAATATGAGCCCCGGCCGCTTCCTTGCTGGCAGGAGAGATTTTCTTTTTCGGTCTCCCCGTGAGTTAGTTGTCAGGTGAGAGGCATTGCAGTAACTCAGCTTTATGTTGTTGAAGAGAGCTGGACATCTGCCTTTGCACTGATAGGTTACATTATTGTGCAGTTGCCTTCATGCTGTAGTAACTTCATGAATGAGTTAATGGAATGCTCTTTAATTAGAATAAGGATAATTATAACAGATCGTTCTTTCTTGCACATCTATGTGTGCAAGAAACATCTCTCTAGAGATGAACCAGAGAACCAGCGTATGTTTGTTTGCCGTGAGGTTATGCATTCTGTTATTCAGTGAAGTGGTTTTGCAAAAACATGTGGGTAATAAATAGTGTTCTTGTGTGTTGCTGGCACATTTTGAAGACTTTTTCTTCTGCCAAATCCTACTGAGCTGTGCAATCTGAAGCATTAGCCAACGATTTGCAGGTCTAATTATTTTACAGATCATCTCGTGAACATGGGAAGAGTTTGGGCATATTCCAGAATGACATTTTACATTCTTTCCCCTCACTAGAAGTTCCCTGCTAAGCTGATGCTTCCCAAGATAAGGTAAATAGGCCTCCCCTTGAAGCAACAGGAGCGCAGCAGAGCAGACCACGTTCTCTGAGGGCTGTGCCGCACTTGAAAGTGTTTCCACCATGATCAGGAATGTGAAAAAGAACTGTACTCCCCACCTCAGTGGTCAGCAACCGTTTAGGGCTAGAGCGTCTGGCTGCATTTTTATTTTTGCAGTTAATTCCAGATAGTAAAAACTTAGCAGGAGCCAGGACGCGCTGGTTTCTCGCGGTCTCAGCGCCCCCGATGACCTGCTCAGCATCGTCTGGTGTCTGCACGAGGTGACGTCTCCTGGCTCTTGCTGAGGCTGGACTTCGGAAGCCTCTCTCAGGAAACGCAGCGCCTGACGCCCCGCGCTGTAACTGCCCTCCCTGGATGCCTTTCAGAGTCCCTCTGTGGACTGCTTGCGGTGGGTGACCGGCTCCAACCCTACTTGACAAAGTAGTGCTGGCACGAGTTGTAGTATAGATGTGATTATCTTGATAAAAATTCCTCGTGCTAGTACCAGTTACGCTGTTCAGCGACCTGATGCAGCCTATCCTAGTTAAAGTCCTTCTGTCTGAAATGGAGCCATAATGAAAAGCAATAATGCAAGCCATCAGGAGCTTTTTTTTTGCCCGTGTCATTTTGAATTCAGCATCCCCCTACAGCAGATATTTTAATGACCTATTAAATAGCCATTCAAACCCTATGGGAAGCCACGGGGAAAGGATTCAGTCCTGTAGCAAGCTCCCTGGAGGGGAGCAGGAGGAACATCAAGAACGTCACGACTGGACGCGTTCCTGTGCAGCCTGCCCTGGGTGATGCTGCCTTGGCAGGCGGGTTGGACCAGATGATCTTCAGAGGTCCCTTCCAACCCCTGCCATTGATTCTGTGATTCTGTGAAGGAGCCTGGGCTGCCTGGGCACCAGGCCATGCGACAGGAGCTTCAGGTCACACAAAGGCGCGGGGGACACTGCGTCCTCCCAGGACGTTGTTCATGACACGTGCGTGCTGTTCGTAACAGCCCGGTCTGCAAATTCGGCGTGCGGTCTGAAAACAAACCAGCCTGCTCACTGTCTGCCTCATGCACCGACAGAAGTATTCTGCCGCTGGAGAACGTTTAAGGCTTACGATGAGGTACAAGCCAAAATAGAAATGAGCTCATTCTCCCATATCTCTGTTGGCCTTCTATTGCAAACAGGAGCTAAGAGTCCCCCAAAAAATTCCTTCATCAGGAAAGGAAACAGCTATGACTTTGAGCCCACACACAAAGAAAAGTTCTGCTCAGAAAAAAGTGCTATTTTTAGTTGTTTTTCAAAGGAAAACTATGCTAAGCCACAAACCCCAGTCTCCTCTGCTCCCTTTAACTTTCCTTAACACTATCTATTGGCAAATGTTTCTGTGTGGGATAGAGGCGAGCTTCATACTTGAAATTTCTTCCTTCCCCCCCCCACCCCCTTCACATCAGTCTGAAAATCAGTCAGTCTGCCTTCACGCGGTGCGGGGAACGGGCGCCAAGCTCCGGGTGTCTGAAGGGCCCGTCACCTAACACGCAGTACGTCAGCTCTCAGTGTTGTGTGATGCACCTGCTTTTAGCTCTGTGAATTATTTCGAGAAGAGTGTGACAACTTACCAAGGGAAAAAATTAATGCAATGGGGAGGGTGCAGCCCAGTCCCACCCATGCATCTCTTCCCATCCTGCACACCCTCCTCCTTGGTGGCCGTGCGTCTCAGAGGCTCTGCAGCGGACGTCACACAAGACTTTCAACATTTCTCTGAGAATTACAGTGAATTAATTATCCTCATCTGAAAACGGTATCTAGACGCTGTTTAGCATCTGACTGTAGCCCCGTTTATCCTGAATTTGTGGCCCAGTTCTGTCTCCTGCCCACGGGCTGGTGCACCCCTTGTGGGGTGGAAAACAAGGGGCCAGAAAACGAGGGGGCAGGTCCCCGCGGTGTGTGCAGCTGCCTTGGTGTTCCTGGAGCTCCCCGTGGGCTGAGGTGTGAATCCAGTCAGGGGTCCAGAGCTGCCCTTACTAGTCTCTAGCAAGAAGTCGCAGCGTTGTCTGTCCCCTTTGGTGTTTCACTGATCTCTAGGTGAAAACCACTGGCGCTCTGCCTGCGCGTCCCGTCCCTTGGGCTCGCTCTGCCGGCCGCGCTCGCCCTTGTCTCCCTGCCCGGCTCACCCCACCTTCCTTTCAGTCTGCTTCCCAGTTACTTTATTCCCTTTCCCACCTCCGTTTCCTTCCCCCCGGCGCTAACCCCGCGAGCAGCGCGCTCTTTGCCACTGCCCCATGCCAGAGCATCCCGGTGCCGTGCCTCCCGGTGCACCAGGTCTGTGGGTGCTGGTGGAGGGAGGAGGAGGTGTCACCGGGCACGGCCCCTCTCCCGGGGCGTTTGCCAGCCATGGGGCTCAGCGTAGAAGTAGGTTGGTAAAAGTCAAGGCAACGCAGCAGGCGGCGGCAGCGGCCCCGGCCGGGGCTGGCACGGCGGGGATGAGCAGCACAGCTCTGCCTGGGGTTGCACCACGCGTGAGGGAGCATCTCTGGGCCACCGAAGAAGCTCAGGCTGGCAGGGCTGGCACTTGCCCGTGCTGGCTACGGACATAGCCGCCCGCTCCGATCTCATCAATAGCAGCGTGGGAAACCCAATTAATAAACCCAGGGTTAGCAGTGGGATTGGTAATTAGCTGGGGATCTGGCTCCTAAAACTAACAATTCGTTTTTCATCTTTTCAGTTCCTAAATTTATCCTCACGGCTGTCAACCCCCTGGTCACCGACAGCAAGTCTTCCATCAAACAGAACAATGGTACGTACCGTCAAAAAAAAATGGCTTGCTCCTCTCCTTTGATCGAAACAGGACGTTTTCCCACTGCAGAGCTTGGTCCGAGCGAGGTGGGGCGAGGTAATGGAAACCCTGCTGGAACAGCTGCTCTCCCCCTTGGCGGGGGCAGCGTGGCGGGCTGGGACCCGTGCGAGCACGGACTTGCTGTCACAGCGGCACCGCGAAACGAGTGACCCCTCCGGACCTACCCATAGCCAGCGTGCTGTCTTCTAACTGCGACTGAACCATGGGAAAAGCAAACTGTGGTTGTTTCAGGGTGGAGAGTTTTTTAAGAGTTACGCCAACACCTGCTCTTCTTAAAGGCAGAAAAATTAATGCTGTGGCTAATGCTTAGATGCTGTCATCGATAACAGGAGTGTACTGCAGTGATTGGCCTGGGAAGTCCGTTTGAGAGCTGCGAAGCTTAATGAAGTAAAATTATTTCAGAAACCTTAATGGGAATAGGCAAGAGGTTTCACCTGGTAATAGATTCTTTTAAGTAAATTTGCCATTTTCTAGATACTCAAAGTTTTCAATACTTCGTTATTTATACTTTATTTCAATATTTATTTTATTTATCAATCATTGTTTGGTCTAATGTTCCGCAAGGTTCCTACGGCACAGCTCTGGCCTGCCTGTGTTTTAGGTGAACTTGTTAGTTTAACAGTTACTGGGTGAGTATCAATTTAGTAGCTTCATCATCTATGATATGATTGAATTTGCTTTACCTCCTCATGTCACAGGTGTCGACCTTGATCCAAAGGAATCAAGACTTCCAAAGAAAGATGGAATTCTTGTTAGCAACTCCTTGGCTACATTTGCCTACATTAGAGGTAGGAAAATGAGGCTGAGATTGTTTGGTTCATTAGACATTTTGGGAAAAAGGAAGATGACCTCAGAAGGTCACCACTGGTAATCCCATGTTTATAGTAACGATGTTATTACAATATAATCACAGTCTTGTGGATGGGACAATCACAGCATAATTGATATTTATGGAATATTTTCCATCCTGAAGGATCCAAACTCTTTTAGAGATTGCAGCCAAGATAATTTTTAATTAATATTTTCAATGGGGACTGGTGGTTGTTCGGTACTTTGAAAACCTGGTTCTGATCTGGGAGCAGTGCTGGAGACATCCATTTTTGGAAATGTTGGTTTGGATTCATATAAGGATCATCGAGGAGCGGTAAAAAAAACCCCACAAAACAAACCCAGCTGTCGCTGGTGTGGGAGATGGCAGGTTTTGTGACTCAGCAACACTAAGCCAAATTTTGTTGAGGCAAATAAATTTGCGATCACCTGATCCCTGCCAGCACAGGAGAAGTCACGAGTTTCAGAAGTCAGCAAAGGCTGATGCTGAGGAGTGGTTCTGGAGCTAAGATTGCTGCTCTTCTAGAAAACGCCAAGAGCCGCGCAGCTGTGGGCATCATCCCACAGCCTTTGCAGGGGCTTCCCCCGCCAG